GCACTCTGTCAAAATTTTAACAATTAAATAATAGAGATCTGAAAAAATGTTTGCAACAGGACAAGAGCATCACAGATTAATTGATTACACTGAAAAACATGTTTTTTTTCTTTTTCAGCTGCCCCATTTGTCCCATTTGCTGTAGGTCCTACTGAGCACATTGCAGGCAGAGTGTGTTGGGGGGGTCTAGGAGCAATCAGCCTGACCCGAAAGCTCAAGAGAAAGTTAAGACATCTGCTCCTCTGCACCTCCCTCTGCCCAGGTAGGGACATTTGTATGGTATCTACCCAGGTGTACTTACAGTCCCGTGCTCATGGAGAAAACTTGTCCCTAGAGAAACCAGTAGGAGTTTCACCTCTGAAATCAATCTCTCTAAGTGTCACCTAAGATTTTAATCCTCCTATGTTTACATCCTTATAGCCTGACATGCACGCAGTAGAAGTTTTTCTGAGCAGATTGCAAGCTACATGTTACCATGTATGCCATAATAAACAAATACAACTCATGCACAAGCAATTCAGAAAAAGTTCAGGTACACAAGTATAATTAGCAAAGTGGAAAGAGATATTAGGCATAAGATGGTTTAATTACAATTTTTATACTGATAGAGTTAAATTCTGTTTTCTTCATCAAGTAGAATATGGAGAAAGAAGAACCTTGGAAAAATTATGAGAATAAAACAGGTTGTAGGTTTTTTTTGTTTTTGTTTGTTTTTATATAAGTACCCAGGATACTGTGATTTTTTTTTTCCCCCTGGAGTGATTTCTGGTTTATTTTTCACAACACAACCCCCCAAAACCACTCTGTGAAGCAAAATGAATACATGTAGCTACACAAGAATACATGTGTAGCAGCATTTGCATCACCTAGCTAAGGTCTGCTACTTGAATTATGTATCAACTTTTGGGTTTAAAAATGTTTGGAGGGAAAGAAAAATATGGTAAGTGAAAAAATCTACTTTCCTCCATCTGGATTAGAAACTGCCTCAGAGAATGGGTGGATACAGCTGATTAAGATAAAAAGACGTTTTGGGCTATTTGTCTAAGCCACAAAAGGAGAATTTGTAAGACTTGACAGTTTCAGATGCTTAGTATTTAACTGTGTTGTAGAGAAGAATAATGAAAGCCATTAGTGATTACAGCATGCTGAAAATTGGCATCTGAAGGTATCAGGAGAAGGCTGAGTTGTCTGCCGTAGTGCAGCAAATAAACTTGAAAGGCAGCAAGCTGAATAATGAGGTTGCACATCACTTCAGGAATTGGGGAGCATATTTATTTTTGACTTCTGGAAACAGTGAATCAAATCAAGAACATTTTATCTAAAATGGTAAAATATTTCTCTACTACATCCACATCCTAAAATTCATCACTTTTAAATATTTTTAAAATAAAAAATGCAGTAGTTTATTACAAAGTATTTTTCTTTACTTACCTTAAAAAAAAAAAGCCCTAGGAAATACATTTGCTCTGTTGTTCACTAATGCAAATTAGAAATTAGAACTCTCATCCCAGTTTATCCAATCTCTTTATTCCCACTCTTTATGCTCAGTACTATGTAAAAGCCATAATTAATGGGACAGAAAGTGTGAGGTCCTTTAAGACAGTTACCCTGGCACTGTCTTCAGCCTGCTTCTCTGGGGAGCGCTATTTTGATTATTTGTCTTCTGTTTCAGTCTCTCTGGGGCTGATGTTATACTTTCAGTATCAGAAGAATTGTGCAGCAGTAAATGCAGGCTGTGCCATTCCCCTCCCTACTTTGGTAAGTACACTTTAGGATTACAGAGACCCTCCTTGCTCTCTTGCTGTCTTCTCTGAACCGAACATACACCCTTCAGAACCACAGATTTTCAGAAGGTAGGTAAGTACCTGGGAGATCTCTTCTGCCTATTGTATGACAACCAGAAATTGCACATGACATTATAATTAACTGTTTAACTTCAGCTACAGGACCCCTCACTTCCAGATGCAGCAGAAAATGTCTGGGTTTGGGAGGGAGAACTCATGAGGATTTGTGTTATTTTACTTGGAGAGGGATGTATTTGCTCCTCCAGACCCCTGTTAAAGGATAGGCCATTGTACTGTCACCATGTTTGTTAGGGTTCTGGTAAACCAGCTGAGTTATAAGAGATGATTTCTATTTCTTCATCTGGCCTGTGTTTCCTACCTGGCTTTAAGGCTGTCCTCTGAACACACGTGCACATTTATAGCTGTGAGAGAAGGTGCAGAATAGATGCCAAGTGGTCTTCCCACAACTTTACATTTCAGTCCATAGTTGATCTGAGAAAGATTAATTTATTCCTATTCTTAATTTGGCTGGCATCAGATGTCCCGTAGAACTCCAAGATGTGTACCTGAATGTGCCACAAAATTGACTGCTGGTTCCTGAGCTCCCAGACATCTCTGCAGAATTAGGGCTGTGAGGAATGTAGGACTGTTGCAATAGGTCTGTCTAATCTGTGTGTGCACAGGGGGATTAAAGGCACAGGGCGCCATCTCTTCTTTCCCCGGTGAAGGTGATGAATATGCTCACATATCTCAGCCAGAACCCCTCTAATGGCACAAACAAATACTACTTGAAAACAATGTGAATTCACTCTGGCAATCCCTGCAGAGACACTAGCTTTAGGCTGCTGAGATCAAACACCCTGAAGTATCTGGGATGCTGGTCACCACATTTCACACCAGCTGAAACATGTAGTGTGTAATCTGCAGGGAGCATAAACAGAAATATTAAATTCTTGAAAAAACAGATATAGGAAAATATTTCCTTTATGAGAATCATAAACAAATGTAATTCCTTCCAAATCCCAACAACTTCTGAAATTATTCTCTGAGCAGAAACATCTGTGTCACGGATAACACTCTAAATATAACACAGCCTCTGATTTTCTTCCTCCCTTACCCTGTTTTTGGCCTGGTCAACTGTTTCAAGGCTCTGTGCTGAAATTGCCAGTTCTTAGCCATACACTGTAGCCACAATGGGATGTTCAGCTGTGGGTGATCATCTCCAGAAAAGTACTTGCTGTATTCAAAAAGCATGGGAGAACCCAGGTTTTGGTGGAGGAAGAGTGCAATTGGTCGTTATCCTCAGAGTTGAAATTTTTATGGAAGAGAACAGTGTTCAATGCATTGCCCCCAGATTATCACTACAGTCAAACTAAAAATGGTAGAAGAAAAAAATCTGTTTCAGGACCAAGAACACTTTCCTTTGTATAATTAGGTTCTGCAGACTCCACAGTGGGTGTCTGCGTCTCCCTCATTTCCATCTATCCTCAGAACACACTGTGGAGGATAATCAGTCCTGCTCACTTTGTTATTCATTTTTTGTTATCTCTCCTGGAGATTTAAATTCAACATTATCTACTTAAAATATTTGTGGAGGCAGAAGTCTGCTACATTCTCTGCATAGGAAATTTTTGTTGAGGTGCAATGGCATTTGAAACACATCTGGGAACAAGATGGATGTTCTTTTCTGCTGGTATTTAAAATGAGGTCTCTGATTTTGTGTGCTTGTTCTAGATAGCTGTTAGGACCTAGTTGTCAAAGCAGTCAAATTTTTACACTGCCACAGGACACATGGAAGCTCTCCATGCTTACACTGGTAGCTGCTGATGGCTTTTCTGCTCCTGAACCTGGTGTACTGTGAAAAAACAGGCATAGATGACAATCATGCATACTCATAAAGAGCTTTAACAATGCTAGATGTATGGTTGGACTCAAGAGGAAATGTAGGAAGCAAATCCTTACCAGGACTCCAACTTGAGCAATGTTTGCCTTCTTTTGAGTGCTGCCCTTCATTCTTTATTCAGTTGTGGACCCCTAACAAATTTCCAGTAGGAAAGCAGGCTCCCCCATCCAGTAAATATTAATTGCCTGGCAATAGAATTCCTTTTTCAACCCTAAAATGATACTCAAGTCCCAGAACTAAAACAGTTGCTGTCAAGCCTCCCATTGTGAACTATGTCACATCTGTCATTCTTCAGGTTACTGAAGAGAACAGGAACCCCCCTCTGAAACTGGCTGAAGGCTGTTTCACCTCTCTAAAAGACATTCCCCCCAGGTAATACAAAGTCACTCCCTTGTGGTTCCTATTCTCACGTTGACTGTTACCCTGCAGGAAGTGGCTGCAAGAGAGGAAACCTAAGGCTTGGACTCCTGATTATCTTAGAGAAGTGCTGGTCCTTTGGCAGCGGTGAAATGAAGATCTTCTCTGGGGCAGGGTTGGGGCAACAGTTCTGAACTACAGGGTAAACTGATAGAGACCACTGTGCTACCTTTCAGAGGTGATGAGGGAGATTGGGTAGCATGTGGGGAAGGGTTGGAGGAACTCCAGAAATCTTAAATTATTTCTGGTTGTGTTTGGGGTTAAAAGTCTGAGGCAGTGGTGCATAAAAATTTTTAATTAAGTATCCGCACAAAGCTGGTAAGAGATAGCTAATATCCATGCCGAACCTATGTTGATGGCAGAGAGGTGATGGATGGCATTTGTAGGATAGACTCACAGAGCCCACAGGCCTCCGTAGGCACCTTGTTAGCAGAGTGAGTGATGCCCTTTTTCCTGTTAAACCTAAAACGTCCACATTCTACTTTATTTTTAAAAAGTCTTTCCCAAAGGAGTGAGATTCAAAAGCCAAGCAGCCTACGTCTATTGCGTTGCCTGGCGTCTCCGGGAAGAGCGCCGTGGATCCGCAGGGAATGTCGCGACAGGCGCGGGGCGCGCCCGCACGGCTGGGGCGGCAGCGCCACCTGCGGGCTGGAGTGGGCACTGCGCTCTCGGAGCTCTGCGCCGCTCGAACGCCTGCGGTGCTCCGCGGCTGCGCAGAGAACTTGGGGCGCCTTCGGTGCTGCGCAGCTTTTGTACATGCTCGTGGTATTGTTTAATACAGCCTTAAAATCGAGCTTGTCACTGAGCTACATTCTGTTCTGCATTTGCTGCTGCTTAGGAATATGTAAAAGCCTTGTGTGGATATCACCTGCTTACCTTAAAGTGTTAAATTAAAAGTTGTTTATACCGTAGTATATGTTTAACAAATATGTGCTTATTTCACAAGAGTGGTCAAATGAGTGATCTCGTGGAAGAAAACTGCAAGAAAAGCTATTCTTCCCAGGAAACATCTGCAGGAAAAAATATGTCTCCTGCTGAGGACCGCTCAATAAGACACAAAAATGTGGTATGACTTCTCCAGTACTATTTTATTATCAAGATACTTAAAATTGCCTTCAGTTTTTTCAGTCATTACAAAAACAAAGAGCTGGAGTCAAGAGGGAAATATCAGTAACAAGAACAGTGAAATGCATCAAGTTTGTAATGCAGTGATTTAAAGGGCTAAGAGCAATTTTAAGTAGGGAAACAGAAGAGTAGTCTTAGAGGAAGGAATATCACCATACCTTATTTTTCTTTTGCAACTTAAAATTGCATTATTTCTGATCATGAATGGTGATGATGCTGAAAAATCTACCCCAGAATCCAAAGCAGACATGTCTGAATAAGGTACATGAGATTGCCCTGTATGTTTTCAGGAGAATGCAGGTGAAGATGCACAGCATCACCACCTTGGGAAAAAGTGCACTCAAGTGCATGGACATTCCTGAATCACTGTATCAGCAGATTGGGCTGAATGGCCACTGCTTTCCCCTGAGAAATAGTGAAAGTGCTCAATTGTTTGTGGAAAATCACTGTGAACTCTGATGGGAATGACACCCTCCAGGGAAGCTAAGAGATGGCAAGGCAGCTCCATTTATATAACAGGAGAAAAATATAAATTTGTATGTATTTTTGTGCCTTTACATAATGAATGATAGGTGTCAAAGCTTACAGTCATTGTCCAAAGGGAAATTGTTTGACATGATGCTTATGTTTGCAGTGACTTTAGAAGTATCTGTCAACATATGCGGACTATGTGGAATGGTAATACACAGAGATAATATTTTAGTTTCCAAAAGTACTCAGCAGTTTTAACTAATTGTAAACATGAATTCCATAAAATTGGCAGAAAAATGCATCCTCCTATTTCTCAGAAAACTGTGCTCAGTTGAGCTTCTTTGTTTTTGTCTGTGTGTTGGAGTTTTTTTTCTCATACTTCTCGCTTGTGCAAATATTTTCTTACTCTAGTAGCTGCTCCTTCAGACTTTTTTCTTGCCCCTAGATTGTTTGGACATAGATAGTTTCTAGGCATCTGAGGGAACAGTGAAAATAAGAGTGAATCCATTCAAGATGCTTATAATCATAGTACTTGTTTTTACATTTTAGATGAAGATGAAGAACAAAACACATAATTCTGCCTTTCACATGGCAACTTGCAAACTCCATGCCGCTGTACCAGAGTCATGAGTTCAGAGTCATGATTGTTCCATCCCCAGTCAGGATGCACAGTCGGTAAAAGGAATACTTGATTAATAGTCAGACAAGCAAACATTTTAAACAATCAATATGATCTTATAAGTTATCAGGAATATTAATTTTAATGTCATTCAGAAGCCAGTGAGGACACTTGGCAGCTGATAAATATGTTTTCCAATTGTACTAATTACAAACTTTCTGTTGTTCATTTATAGCAAAAACTCGAGAAACAATTAAAATGCTTAGCCTTTCAAAATCCAGGACCTCAGGTAGCTGACTTCAATCCTGAAACTAGACAGCAGAAAAAGAAAGCATGCATGTCACAGATGAAACAAAATTTTTTTTATGAGTCCAAGTAAGACCTCTAATTTATTACCTGATTTACTTTAAAAAATGGCTGGTAGACTGTTCACTGAACCTAAACAAAATTAATAAAAGCATTGTATTTTGCAGAATGATTTCTTGAAAGTTGTGTTGGGAAAACAAGATTTTTCTGTGTGACTTTAAGGGAATTTTGATATAGTATGGCATGGATTCATTTTTAGTACCAATGGCTGTTGCAATTTGGATATAATGCTTATATTTCATTTTGCTGTGAGTTTGTTGAAGACTAAATACTTGGTGTACAGATGTTTTCCACATGTGTTTGATTTAGTGTCTGAATGCATTGAAGCATTGTCTGAAAATAATTTTTGTTCTCTTTCACAGATTTACAAAGAAGTATGACAAACATGGCAGGCTGCTCTGTAATGACATAGATTTATGTGATTGCCTGGAAATGGACTGCCTGGGTTGCTTCTATCCTTGCCCCAAATGCAACTCGAACAAATGTGGGGCAGAATGTCGCTGCAATAGGAAATGGGTTTATGATACAATTGAGACTGAAGCTGGGGATGTGATCAGTGAGCTACCATTTTTTGTCCCTGACTGATTATGTTCTGTTAGGTTTTGTGCCTGAATATTGTTCTTTTAAATTCATGTTTTATTAAAGTAAATCACCACCTGGCAGAGGTGCTTGTGCTTTTTTATTGTTGCCTACCTAGCAAGTTTTAGCATTCCCCGTCAAGTAAAAGTGTGTATGTCGTTCTTCCTCATTCTTGTAAGCTTTACTGAGGCACCTAGTCAATTCTTTCTAAATCTTGACTTTCTAAAATTGAAGGTATCTGAACTGTTGAGGGAAGATAATTTTCTTACCCTGGGAAGCTGAACTGCTTTACTTGTAATGAGGGTTTTTTGCTGATTTCTCTGCTGGTTTAATTACTCAGATGTGTGACACAGCTCTTTGTTTTGTGTAGGCTTGTCCAAGAGCCTTCTCATCCTGCTGCATTCATTCCTTGCATAGGTGAGACAGGAGGCATTTGAGATAACACTGTTCTTTGAAACTAGGTCACTACTTTCCGTGTTTGTCTGTATATTAAGTGAAGGAGAGTGGAAACAACTCTCTCAGCAATTCTTTCTTGCTTCTTGCTGTCCAGGTTGAAAAACTGAAACCAACATGTACAGTCTGCACTATTTTTTTACAGCATGTGGCACGTTAAATGTCCACTGGTCATTAATTACATGGCTAAACAGAGTGGATATTTTTCCTTCTGGACAGAAAAGTGTCTTTAGTTCCGTAAGTTTCTTCTTCAGGTAAGACATGACAGATTTTAAATACAATAACTTACACCAGTCTTCTTATGAGGTAGGTATTCTCATTCATGATAGGCATTCACACTCTTTTTGAGGAGTGAGGGTCCCTCTGGATCTTGAAGGCAAGAAGGCTGCAGATGGTTGCAGGTGATTTCCAGGAGCATGCTGCTAGTGGGGGAATCATTCCTTGGGCCTAGTGCTTGTTTCTTTTTGAGGAGGCTCTCCCAAAGATACCTTTCAATACATGGAACTTGGGAACAGATCCCAAGAATGTCTTAACATCAAAATTTCCTTCTGATTTGCTATCTTGGAAAAATTTTTTTGTTCCTTTCAGCTATATAATGCAGGCAGCATGGGCAACAAGCTGGAGGAGCTGGAAGCCATTGTGCAGTGGGAATGCTGTGACACAGTTACCATCAATGAAACATGCTGGGACAATTTACACAACTGGAGTGCTGTGATAGATGGCTGTAAACTTTTCAAAAGGAATGGGTGAGGAAGGAGAGGTGGGGAGGTAGCCATGTAGGTTAGGAAGAGTTTTGGTTGTCTCAAGCTCAATGATTATGACAATGGGGTTGAGTGTTTCTGGGCAAGAATCAGAGAGAATGATAACAAGGCAGATATCCTGGTAGGAATCTGTTATAGACCGCCAAACAGAAGGGAGGGGCAGATCAAATATTCTATAAGCAGTCTCACAATTGCTTGCTCTTCCTCTCTAGGGGAACTTCAGCTTTCCAGATGCCTACTGTCAATACAATATAGCAGAGAGGGAAAACAATCCAGGAAGTTCCTGGAGTATGTGTAAGACTATTTTCTGACCCAGCAAGTCAGCAAAGAGAAGGCACCTGATGGACCTGTTGTTTATGAACAGAAAAGAACTAGAGGGTGATATGATGGTCTGAGGCAATCTTGGGTACAGTGATTATGAAATGATAGAATTTTCAGTTCTCAGAGAAAAAAATGAAGGGGGTCAGTATAACTGCCATCTTAGATTTAGGAAGATCTGTCAAGGGGCCTGGTTGTCAAAGTCCCTTAGGAGGCAGTCCTAAATGGCAAACAAGTCCAGGTTTTTAAAGAAGAAAATCTTTAGGGTGCCGGCTATTCTCATGTGCCAAAAGACAAGCTGATGTGGAAGAAGGCTATCCTAGCTGAACAGAGAGCTTTGGCTGGAATTCTGGGTAAAAAAGAGAATATATCACCTTTGGAGGAAGGGGAAGGCAACTTAGGAGAACTAGGAGGATGTTGTGAGGTTATGCAGGGAAAAGAAATAGAAGGGACAAAGCCCAGAAATTAATCTGGCTACTGCTGCGAAAGACAACATAAATGTTTTTATGAATACACCAAACATTTTCATAAATACATAGAGAAGTGTTGGACAGTGTTCTCAAGCACATGGTATAGCTCTTGGGATGTGCAAGACTAAAAGTCCCTTCTTACTCAGCATATTCTGTGATTAGGTGACCATGAAAAAAAGGAAGGCTAAGGAGGATCTCATTACCTCATAGACGTGGGTAGATGCAACATGACAAAGGATGAGTAAAAGACAGCAGTACTTAGTGCCATCTTTGCCTGTGTTTTTAAAACAAGACAGGTTGTTCTTTGGGTCCCCAGCCTCATGAACTGGAAGACAGGGATGGGGATCAGAATGAAACCTGCATATTAAAGGGGCCATGACCCATTATATCATACCCAAGTCCATGGGGCTGGATGGGATTCACTGAAAGTTACTGAGGGAGCTGTCAACAAAGCTCACCAAGCCGCTTTCTGTCATGTACCAGCAGTCCAGGATAACTAATGAGGTGACAGATGACAAAAGGTTGGTAAATATTATGCCAATCTACAGGAAAGATTGGAAGGAACATTCAGGGAACCATAGGCCGGTCAGTTTGGCCTTGATGCCAGAGAGGGTCACGAAGCACATGCCTTCACTTGGCGTGTATGGGGCAACCAGGGGATCAGGCACAGACAGTTTAGGTTTAGGAAAGGCTGGTCTTTATTGACTAACTTGATCTTCTTTTGTGACAGGATGACCCTGCCTAATGGATAAGGAACAGACTGTGGATATCTATCTGGACTTCGGCAAAGCCTTTGACACTGTTCCCCACAGCATTCTTCTGGAGAAACTGACTGCTCATGGCTTGGACAGGGGCAGTCTACCCTGGTTAAAAACTGGCTGGATGGCCAGGGAGTGAAGATGAATGGAACTACGTCCAGCTGGAGGCTGGTCAGAAGTGATGTTCCCCATGGCTCAGTGTTGGGGCCAGTCCTGCTAAACAAGTGGTTTGAGTGTTCCCTCAGTCAGTTCAGAGATGACACTAAGTTGGATGGGAGTGCTGATTTGCTGGAGGGTAGGAAGGTTCTGCAGAGGGATCTGCATAGGATGCATTGATAGGCCAAGGCCAGCTGGGTGAGATTCAACAAGGTGAGGTGCTGGGTCCTTGGGCCACAACAACCTCATGCAAGAGTTGGAGAAGAGTGGCTGGAGAGCTACATAGAGGAAAAGGACCAGGGGGTGCTGGTCATCAGCAGCTGAACATAAGACAGCGTGTGTGCAGATGGCCAAAAGGGCCATTGGCTGGTGGTGTAGCCATGAGTACCAGGGCAGAGATTGTCCCCCTGTACCACCTTTGCCTGGTACAGGGGGACAATGAGTGATGTGTCCAGTTTTGAGTGCTGTGCCCAGTTTTGGGTTCCTCACTACAAGACAGACCTTGACTCTGGAGCATGTCCACATTCTGGAGTAAGTCCAGAGAAGGGCAGTGGAGTTGTTGAAGGATCTGGAGCACAAGTTGTATTAGGAAAAACTGAAGAAGCTGGGAGTGTTTATCTTGCTGAAAAGGAGGCTAAGAGGAGACCTTATGTCTCTCTACAACTCTCTAAAATGAGATTGTAGACAGGTGAGGGTTGGTCTCTTCTCCTGGGTAACAAGTAATAGGATGAAAGGAAATGGTCTCCGTTTGCACCAGGGGACTTTTAGGTTGGATTTTAGGAAAAACTTCTTCACCGAAAGCATAGTCAGGCATTGGAATAGGCTGGCCAGGGAAGTGGTGGAATCACCATCCATGAAAGCACTCAAAAGGCATGTGGATGTGGCACTTTAAGACGTGGTTTAGTGGTTGGACTCAATGATTTTAAAGATCTTTTCCAACCTAAACAATTCTGTGATTCTATAAAAACACTCACTACCAAAAAAAAAAACAAAAAAAAAACCAAACAAACAAACCAAAAACTATCATAGGAATGTCTCCTGTGGTGGTTAAAACACTCTGTTTGGTAATTGGATCTGGTGATGTTCTCTCATATACTTTACTGGTCCCCAAGTATCCTTTGACTTCTGCCAGGAGTCCAAATAGCTCACATAATTTCTTAAGGTAGGTGGAAATCCTACTCATAAGTCAGGAGTTAGGAATTGTTTCTTGTTCCAGATGTGCCATAGACTCATTCTAGATTTGATAGAACAAACAGCTCTTCAAGAAGATGAAGCTGATTTAAGTTGACAGGAAGATGGCAGCCTTTGACATAACTTCAAGATCTGAAATGGGCAGGTTTGAATTATTATCTATTTCTTTTTATTTTAAGGCAAAAACCTAAATAGTTTATCACATGGATTCCTGTGGTAAGGCTACATGTTACATTTTCTGAGTAATGTGATTAATGCCAGATTGGTGGAAATACCATTGTTGAATTCATTTGTGTTACTCTGTGGTTTTTAAAATGGACTGTGACTCGGTCAACTCCACACAAACACACTTATTGCAACCTTGGAAATAGAGCAGAAAACCTGAAAATAAAAGAAAGGTGAAAGCCAAGATAAAGAAATAACAGGGCAGAGGCAGTTCTGCTGTGGTTTGAAAATAACTCTACTATTGCAATGATACTGCTAACTTTTCCCCAAATTCCAAATGAGCAGTTCGGAGTGAACAAGTATAATTCTATTAGGGCAGATGTACATGGGGAAGAAAAAAACATGTTATACGTATTTTTATATGGATTGTGAAAGTTAGTGGTAGATACAAATAGCAACACAGTGCCCATATTTGACAGTTTTCTTAGGAAATTACATACCACCACACTGCATGACATTATGGTTTTAAATCCTTTGAGAGAAATGGCAGAGAACATTTTATAGTCTCTTGAGAGATTGGTTTTGCTCCAGATGACATCAGATCATCTTACACCTTGTAAATCAGTCTAAACAGAATATGATTTTCCCTATGCAATAAGTTTGCTCTACAAAACTGGTTAAGGGAAAACAGATCAATGACCTCTTCCTTAAGGTCTGTGTGTCCTTCTCTCTCTTCCAATTCCTCCCCTCCCCCACAGATTACGCACTTGAAACAAGTAGTGACTCTGTAAATCATTTTCCTGT